CTGCGGGGAACTCTGCAAAAAACGCATCTTCGCACGGGCAGCCCGTGCGTTGGCCAATTTTTTACCTAACATTGAACACATCTTCGTCTTACAAAAAATTATATTAGTTTGTCTCATCACAGTCATAACACGCCAAACCTGTTCAGCGACGATTTTGTGTTCCTTCCGTTCAGCTTTAGCTGTAAGATGGGCAAGGCGGGCTTCTTCTTCTTGCTCCAGCTCTTCTTGCTCGTCCAAACTATCATCATCAGCTGTAAAACAACAGTTTTGGATAAATCCCTTGATATTACTAGTGTTGCGAAGAAGTTCAGTTATGGTACTGAAAAGAAAATGGGTCCAAAAAATGAATATAACTGATGAACCATGACATCCCTGTTCAGATATTTCTCTTATATTTTACTCATTTCGCTTTACAACTTCATTCCAGTTGTTACTCAACCTATTACCTGCTAATACTGACGAATGCGCTACCCCAGCATCACTCATTTTGTGAGATTCAAAACGAATGCTTTATTCAGAAAGATGAAAAAGATTTCGGTTGAAAATTAAAAATTTTCATTTAAAAACGAATAGATCTGAGAAAGAGAAAAAAATAATTTACCACTTTTTTATGCGTTTTGTGCTGTGTAACAGCAGTACAAAACGCATATTGTCACGGAGTTGTCTTTCTGTGTGTTTATGTGTGTGTGTGTGTGTCCGCAGCAACTTGCCCGCAACTTTCAAATCGGGAACCACAAAAGCTAGGAAGCTGAAAATTTAGGGGAGCGTTCCCCACCCACGTGTGACTCCCCAAATTTAAACTCAGCTTCCCCGTACCCGCGGGTAACGCGTACGGCCCTGTAAAAGTTTTTCACGGGTAAGTTAGTGCCTTGGGAACCACGGGATCTAGGACACTAAAATTTTAGAATAATGGCCCCCTGTCTACGCTCAACTTTGCCCATTCAAATTTAGCGTTCTCGCGCTCTCGGTTACCACCTACGGCCTCGGGAAAATTTTGGCGGGTAAACTATTAACTCGGGAATCATGGAAAGATATTCACCCTTCAAGGCTTCGAATTCAGCTTTAATGCGCTGGTGCGTGAAATTTTTAAATTTTTTCCAGTGTCTGAACTATTTTTGCGTAGACTAAAAAGTACAAAGTAGTGAAAATCATTAACAGACAATCATTCGATGGGCTGAATTGCAAAAAACGCATGATCGCACCGGCTAGTCTGGTGTGCTTTGCTATTTATTTAACCCCTTACCAGAAATTAAATAAAGTTTTCTTCCTTTTTGTGCCTTAAAAAATGCTGTGAAAACGAATCTAATACGTTGTAAGCCGCATAACTGCATTTGCAATCAAACAAATTTACTTGAATCGTGCACATCCTGCATTGGCTGGTGGGCTTTCCGGTTTTCGTCGAATGTTCTGGATTGCGAGATGTACTCCCGAGATGGCGTGGTGTCTCTATCTGCTCGCCTATTCTGCGCTGCAACTTCGTCCGCATCTTCATCGATGTCGCCATCGAAATCCCACTTCTCATCGCTGTCGATTTCTGCAAAATTTTTCCAGCCCCCGTAAATTCACACATAAAATTTTAATTCACATACGAAGTTTCCTCGAACGCCGCTACTTTTTTACTAAAATTTCAAATTTTTACAAATACGGGCAGCAAAAGATTTTTGAAAATCCTGAAAACTCGACAGGTCGTGGTTAGTCTTCTGGTGTAGTCTGGAGCTGCGTTGCATGTGAGTAACAATACATAAGATAAGCAGATGCATTTTTCAATGAAGAACACATAACCAAAATTTCTGGCGCGTCATTTGCAAAGAATTTCGAAATGAGGTAGATTCTACAGTAAATGTTTGTAAGAACATAATGGCAGCAGTAATATTTTCTTTTTTTTTGATAATCAAAAATCGAATTTTATCATTAAAAGTTCATATTGAAATTTTTTAAAATATCAATTTAATTAACTGCGCTTAAGCGTGTGAGAGCAACATGGGATCCCTTTACTGATAGCCCGGACTGTTTTGGTGATCTTGGCATTTTAATTCGAACCGAAAAACCAAAAATCCTGCTAAGAAAGGTTGCGCTAGGAATTAAACCTCGAAAGTTAAAAATTCATCAAATCTCATTAGTGCCCATGGAAACGAGTGCAGTCAAGCAGCAGCGCCATGACATTGATCAAAGAGCCATTTAGATTCCCCTCAATTCAAACTTTCAATTGGCACCTTTGAATCGTTAAAAAATTTATGATGAAACAGCGAATAAGAAAGAGAGCCAGCAACTTACCAAGTGCTAGCTCCGTCAGATCCTTGGCGGAGAAAAGAGTGTAAAGACTGGAGCAAAGCACAACAAATACTAGCAGCACAGCCCAAAGCCTGAGGCCTCCTTTGGTAACACTGTAATCCACTTTGCTGGGGGCCACCATCACCGCCATCGGCGCCACATGTCCTGCACCGCCAACTGAAAAGAACACTCGCCGTGGTTCATCAAAATCTCAACAATTATTAAGTTGCTAAATTTTAAGTTGCAGCACAGAATTGAAGGGCTTGCTGGCAAAGCTGACCCTGGCATGTAGGAGCATCCCAATAACATTACTAACATCGGATTCGCACAATGATTGCCAGGCGGTACTGATATTCCAGGCATATTTTTACTATGTCAGAGCAGCTGGGAATTGGATTACATCAAATGCTGCGTTTGTTGTGCAAAAAGTTCCCTCATAAATTCAGGGCAATCTGTGCTTTCCAGCATCTGGCTAATTCTTGCGACCTTTCAAACGGTGTACAAGATGCCGCTTCGTTCATCTTGAACCTACAGCCCTAAAGAAATAAATGAGTTCTTTTTCTTGCGGTTCGAAAAAGTTCGCTTTTTTGAAAGTTGCTTCATTAGTTTCTCGAGCGGTGATAATTTATCCGCAACAAATCCGCCAAAACACTGGAATTTTGCTTTAGCATTCGCAACACATGGAGTCTCACCGCTTGATAGGAGCAGTGTTGACTTTTTTAGCATGGACTGCATTGTTGCCAGGATTAGAGAGACAAACTGTAGGCAAACTGCAACAGCAGCCAGCACTGAAAATTCGCATAAAACACTTGATCTTCGAAAAACCGCAACGCATATTCTGGATATTGTAAGCTGAATCCATGCTCATTGAAACATTGTGATAGGCAAAGTTTTGGAAATGTGCGCAACTCGGGAAATGGGGAGGAAAAAGTGAGTAAGAGAAGCGGGATGGGAGAGGGGAGAAAGCAAGAAATGAGCTACATGCTAGCATCTCCTATATCCTCAATTCTAAAAACATAATTGTTACAGGTTTTTTAAATCGCATAAGAAGTGGTAATCGCAAAAAAGAAAAATGGAATCAATTCTACAGGGCTCACGATTCCCTTAGAAAACGAACTGGAATGATTTTTATGCGTTTTTGCATATATGTAAATTGCAAAAACGCATATTGGGAAGAGACTGTGTGTGTGTGTCTGTGTGCGCGTGTGTGTCCGTGTGTTCGCAATTTTTGTCACCCACTTTCAACTCGAGAACCAGAAAAGCTAGAAGGCTGAAACTTTGAGGATATGTG